ATCGGAAATCGGAAATTCCAATTTTTTTTTATATAATTCCAATTCCAATCCAAAAAAATCGGAAAAAATCGGAAATCGGAATTTCGGAAATCGGAATGAAAAAAGTTGTTCCAAAATCGGAACTTTTCGGATCGGAACCGGCGGAAATCGGAATTTCCGTTCCAACTTGCACCCCTAGTTTGAAGCATGAATTACTTTCAAGTTTTAATTATGCATATTGTAGAGGTATATCTTTGCTAACATTAGTAGCTAATAGTTCTATTATTGAAGCTTGGACCACAAACTAACATTAGTAGCTAATAGTTCTATTATAACGGTCCATCTTTGCTAATAATTTAATCATAGGGTAAATTACTCTTACACTCCTGAGGTATGCTAGAATAATTTTAAGGTCCATGTTGTATTGGTAATTACACTCACACTCCTGAAACAATTATCGGAAACAAAATTTCATGTCACAGAGACCAATACGCACTATATTTGTTTTCCACAGGGCCGTTAATGCTACCCGAAAGAAAAATATATAAATATAATATAAAATAATGAGGATTTAAGATATGTTGGGTGAGCCATATTTCAAACAATGCTTCAGAGGGGTCGTTGACTGATACTATAGGGACCTTAAAGTTATTTTAGCATACCTGAGGCGTATAAGTGAAATTTACCCTCTAATTATAATATTTGATATAGACTTAATCCCATTTTGCACCCTTGAAATATATAACTTTGGCATTTTGCACCCTCAAAATAAATTAACAACACTTTGCACCCTTGAAACATAATATATCATGCATAATGCACCCCACATGAGTTTTTAAAGCTAATAAAGATAGTTTAATATTTTTAGTGGTATTTAAAAATTATATTTTTTATCACAAAAAATATTTTACGAAAAAAAAATTCTTCAGCTATTTCGTTATCAAGTTATCTGAAAATAATATTTTCAATCAAATACTTCTACCTAATATTTCCACCAATTACAATAAAAGATCCATCAGTCGAATAAAAGTGATAAAATTTTATTTGATTTAATTTTGTAAGAAAATATATTTTTTTCAATTATCCGGTGTATTTTTTATTTTTTCGCACTTTGTGCCCTCGAAATTAGGTTGGAGGGGCTGAAGAAAACAACAATTTAATTTGTTATTTTTCACCTCCGAAAAGAAAACCAATAAAAAAATGAATTATTCTTTATTATTCAACTCAAGCTGCATTGTAAATGATTTATTATATTTCAAGGTTGAAAAGTGGGATTAATCTTCGATATATTAAGTTTTCTCATAATGTGGATAGTGTGACAACTAATGCATTGACTTTTTTTATACCCAACTTTGGGAATAATAATTAATTAGTAACTCAACAACTCAAGCGGTTTGGCAACTCAGCCCTACCTAAATTTTAGGATCGGAGACTCTTAGCCGAATAACAAAATACTATTTAATTAGATCGCTATAATTAATTAATTGCAGCTCACTTAAATTTTAAAAAAACTTAAAAAAAACTAAAAAAAGTCAACGTCGGAAACCGGCGAAAAAATCCGGAAGAAAAGAAAAGAAAAGAAAGAAGAAAAAAAATTCAAAAAGTCAACGTCGGAGACCAGCGAAAAAATCCGAAAGAAAAAAAAAATAAATAAATTTGAAAAGTCAACGCCGGAATCCGGCGGAATTTTTTTTTTTTTTTTAAAAATCTTTTTGAAAAAAAATATTTGGGGTCAAAATTGAATAATCTGTGAAATTTGGGGTCAAATTGAGGATTAATTAAGTTAAGGATGAAATTTGAGCATATGAAGAATTGAGTATAAAGGGTTGAGGGTAATATTGACATATACATGAATGTTTCCTTTATTTATAATAAATATTAAAGGGATGGACTTATTGGTGACATAGATATAGCCTCTAAACCTAGAATAATAAAGATGCTTGGTTGGGGACTTATGCACAAAAACCCATATTCAAAATTCATCTACTCAAATCAGCAACTTCAACTGAGTCCTCAATTAGGGGGTTCAAATTTTTAACCATCATTTACACACTTAAAAAAAGAAAATGTTTTTTTTTACTCTAATGAAGTTATTAAATGAGGGTTCTGTTTTGCTAATTCACTTATTGTGATGTAAATATACTTGCTGAAAATTGAGTTATCGAGTAAGTAACCACATAAACCATCCAATCACAAGTTGACATGTGACAATTTACAAATAAAATCACTAATAGACTTCCAACTGATGATTAATTTGACAATCATGATTGATGTACATAAATTTTAAATCAATATTAAAATATTATCTCAAATATTCAATGACTATTTGATAACTCAAATTTGTATACTAGAATTGGAGTTGCTATTGTCAAACTAATTATCAATTGAAAGTTTTTAGATGGTTTTATTTGTAATTGCCACATGTCAAATTGTGATTGGACATTTAACTACTTACTTTTTTTATAACTCAACTTTCAGGAACTATTTTTATATACAAACGAGTGAAATATCAAAATACTTACCCATACTGATATTTTCACCCAAGTTTTTTTTTTTTTTTTTTTTTTTTTTTTCAGTTTTGAGATATAATTTAATTTACATGTTTGATAATCTATTGGATAATTTCACTCAAGTTATTTATTGTGCATACTGCATAGTAGATTAGCGGGTCACGTTACTTAGTGGGATAGTTCCAAGTTTTATTATGACAAGTATTGTATGTAGCGTAGCCTAATTAAAATTAGGTGATGAGAAGGAATCAAGGGCAAAACTATTTTTGCAAGAATTAAATACTTCCTTTATAGTGTACTATTTTATTATTATTTTAAACTTTTTCCCTTCCTTTTGATAACTTGATATTTGGTATTTTATTTTAACTTTTGTATTTCTAATACTTTGCCTCATTAATTACGAGCAAGTTATCTTATATAGTTTTTTCAAATGGGTCATTACAAATAAGTCCATCACTGAATACTTATTCATAAAGAGATTCAGACAAAACAGTCATTTACAAATAAGTCCATACATGGTCCAGATTTTTGTAACAGACTAAAATAACCCCTCATATTTTACTATGCTCCAATTTCGTCCATAATTTCATTTAACCTCAATTTGACCCCAAATTTCACAAATTATTCAATTTTGACCCAAATTTTTCTTTTCAAAAAAAAAAAAAAACAGATTTTTGCCGCCGGATTCCGGCGTTGACTTTTCGATTTTTTTTTCTTCCGGATTTTTTCGCCGGTCTCCAGCTTTGACTTTTTGTTTTTTTTTTTTTTTTCTGTAACAGTTTTTTTCCTCGTTTAAACAGAAATATTGCTGTGATTGACAGTAATATTAACTATATTACTGTTAAACACAATAAAATTAACTAAACTACAGTTTAACACAACAATATTGCTATATTAATTTCTAGCACAATAATATTAACACAACAAAACCTATTATTATTCTATAATAGAGTAATATTACTATGTTGATCGTTCAACAAATGTAAACGTAATAAAAATGATTACGTTGACAGTAATATGATTACGTTGACTTGTCAACAAATCAAACAAACTAAAAATAAAAAAAATAACAAAAAATAAAAAATAATAATATTACGTTAATTTACTGTCAACGGCAGAACACTTACATAAATATATTGTCAACAGCAGTACAATGACGTTAATTAACTGTCATTGACAGTATAATTGCGTTAATTTACTATCAGTAACAACACAATAACGGTCAACGTTTAGCGGCGGACTTAAAAAAAAAAAAGTCAACGCCGGAAACCCGCGGTAGAAAAAAAAAAGCATAGAAAAAAAAAAAAAAAAAAGAAAAGTCAGCGCCGGAAACCGGGAAAAAAATCCGGAAGGATAAAAAATCGAAAAGTCAACGCCGGAATCCTGCAGCAAAAATTTTTTTTGAAAAAAAAATCAAAATTGGATTTTTGTGGTCAAAATTGAATTTTTGTGGACAAAATTGATTAAATTATGTTACAATTAAGAATTGGGTATAAATGGTTGGGGGTAATATTGTCATATACATGAATATTTCCTTTATTTATAATAAATATTAAATGAATGGGCTTATTGGTGAAAGATATATAACCCCTAAACCTATAATAATAAAGATGTTTTGTTGGAGACTTATGCACAAAGACCCCTTTTCAAATTAACTATATTATTTTGTTATTCTTTTTCTTTATACAATATATTTATATTGTATTTAATAACTTATTATATATGCATAATAAATTTGCACTAGATGGGATCATAAAATTATAATGTAACTATCATTTTTTTCCTATGCGATGTATGAGATAATATTTCAAAAGTGAAAAAATATATTAATTTAATGCATGGAATAACAATTACAATTAAAAATATATTTCACTATTGTAATAAAAATTATTAGTGATATTTAAATTTCAATAATACAAACCCACTCGACAAAAGATTATATAAACTTAATTTTCACAATTTGAAATTGATCGTTAAATAAATTAAGCAATTAATAAATAAAACATAATTACAAATATGCCATTAACAAAGAAAGAGGAATAATAAAGAAAACAAAAAACTGTTCCATTGAGATAAGAAAGAAAAAAAAATGAAAAACCAATGATTAGAAAATTAGTAGAGGAAAAAAAGAAACATATTTTCATTAACAAAGAAAGCACAAACGGTTTCATTGAGATAAGAAAGAAAAAAATAAAACAATATTAGAGAAAAAGAAAAGTAAAATAAAAATAAATACAAAGATGCTATTAAAGTGTAGGGCAAATTACGGTCATCCCTCTGAGATATGATCAAATTACGAAACCCGCCTCTTGTTTTGGGTAATTACAGCCGTACGCCAACATTTCATGCTGTTTATCGAACTGGATATACGATTTGGTTTGGTAAATAATGGACTAAGGTAATTGATACATCATAATTCGATAATCCTACCAATGCCAAACCTATAGTTTGAACAATAGACTACATATTGCAGGCAGCCTTAAAAAAAATTAAACAAATGATATGATTTAATTTTTGATAATGTCAGCAACTTCTTTGTTTGTCCTCTTGTAATAAAACTGCTTTATGTACATGTGCATCTAGATAAAAAAAATATGCCCGGCCTCTCCTCTCTTATCTCTATATATATATATATAATTAAATGAGCACATATTCTAATGCATTATTATCAGTTCTTTGAAAATAAAATGGATGCAGCGTTGAGTTTAATCTTAACTTCTATTCTTGTAGCTGCATCGGTAACATGGGCAGTGAAATTACTAAATTGGGTTTGGTTTAGGCCGCGAAAGCTCGAGAAATTTCTAAGGGAGCAAGGTCTGAATGGGAAACCCTACCGACCGTTTCTCGGAGACCTCAAGGATTACGTGACAGCTGTTAAATCGGAACAAAGACGAACAATCGAACTTTCCGATGATATTATACCGCACATATTCACGTATTATTATGAGACCATCAACAAGTATGGTAAGAAATATTACTTACAACCGTTATATATATATATATATATATATGTATATGTATGTACAGTTGATCATATAATAATATTATATGTATTGCGATTTCAGGTGAAAATTCGTTCGTGTGGTTCGGTCCTTGGCCGAGGCTGAATATTACCGATCCGGAGCTAATAAAAGAGATATTAAGGAAACCGGATATTTTTCAAAAACCCATCCCGAAAACGGGCAAGATTTTTACGGGCGGACTTTTGCTACACGAGGGCGAAAAATGGGCTAAACATAGAAAGATTATCAATCCTGCTTTCACCGTAGATAAGCTCAAGGTATATATATATATATATGTATATATATATATTTTTTATTGTATTACATTTTCCCACTCTCTTAATTTATATATGTAGATGGGAAAATTATAATTTTGGTCTTCTATGTTTGCCAATTTAGAAATTTAGTCTTCTCGATTGTTCTGTTTCAATTTTACATACAATAACTTTACAAGTTAGATGATGAGATCATAATTTTTAAAAGTCCGTAAAATTCGTTTGCCATATGGTAAAATTTGAGTTCAAGCAGTTAAGAGAGGACCAAAAATGCTATATTTTGCAAAATTATTGCGTATGAAACTGAAACTGGATAACTTAGAGGACTGAATCTCTAAATAAACTAACATAGAGCACCAAAATTACAATTTAATATATATCAAATTTTGTGACAAGTGTTTGAAATATGAAATGTATTTTTTTCTTGCAGAATATGGTTCCGGCAATTGGTGTAAGTTGTTCAAAAATGGTAGAAAAATTAAAAGCAATGATAAACGACGAGGGGTGGTGCGAAATCGATATGTGGCCGTGGCTGGAAGATTTAACGGGCGACATGATTTCACGTACGGCATTCGGAAGCAGCCACGAACAAGGGACGAAGATATTTCATCTCCAAGCCGAACGACTTAAGCTCACCGTGCAAATAGTGCAGTTCTTATTTATCCCCGGTTGGAGGTAATCATAAAACATATTAAAAGTTAGTTCAATTATGTACTATTTTCAAATTGATCATTTCGTTGTACGTTAACACCATCGGGGCTAGGAATTTATTTATTTATTAAATTAGTGAAATATTAAATTATTGAATTAATAACTTATTACATTTTCACTGAGTCGGGACAGAAAAAAAATATTATTAAGAACAGTTATTAATTTATTGAGATTCTACTGTATTATTCAAATTGATTTTTTTTCCGCAGATATCTTCCGACGAAAGTAAATAGGAAAATAAAAGCAATGAATGAAGAAATTCAATCGTTGTTAAAAGGTATAATCGAGAAAAGGCAGAAGGCAATGGATAGGGGAGAAGCTACGGGTGGTGATGATTTATTAGGTATATTAATGGAGTCGAATTCAAGATTCACCGAAGAAGATGGAAATAAGAATAAGGGGATGAGTATTGAAGATGTAATTGAGGAGTGCGAGCTATTTTATTTAGTCGGTTCGGAGACGACCGCTAGTTTGCTTGTTTGGACTATCGTTTTGCTATGCAAGCATCCCGAATGGCAAACTCAAGCACGAGAAGAAGTCAACCGAGTTTTCGGAAATTCGGAACCAACTTTTGAAGGCTTAAATCACCTCAAAATTGTAAGATCTTGTTTCTTGATTTTTTTTCATATTCTTTTATTAATCTTATGAATATTTGGTATATACTTAGTATTTATGGGTAAATGTGTGGCATTAGATTTTTTTTTTTAAGTAATTCAAGTCATTACAAGGGGAAGTAGGGGAGGGGGACTCGAACCCTAGACTTTTTACCCTATTGGTAAGGCTATGTACCAACTCTCCTAATGAGGGTTGGTGTGTGACATTAGATTTATAATTATTGAAAAGTAATGTTTTGAAACACAGACCGGTCTGGCTGGTTGAACCGCAAACTATTGTCTTGTCTGGTTCGATTTGGCCTGTTGAACCGTAATTGGAACCTGACCTAAAATCGAGTGCTTTTTGCCCACAATTGTTCATTTTTCTTATTTTAAAAAACCGAAACAAAAAAAAGGCTAAACTGACATCTTTTTACTGCATAGTTGAAAAAAAATATCAAAATAAAAAACTTTGAAATTGGAAAACATACTATGTTAGATTAAAATTTCTGTAATATTTGAAGTGATTGGATTGTGATATATGTGTCTCAATATGTTGTGTATTAATGAGTTAATTAAATAATGCGTGTAAAAGAAAGTAGGCTTTATTTACTACAAAATTTAAATATAAATAATAATAAAAAAAATCCGGTCAAAGCCCAATTGAACCGGTCTATCCATGACCCAATAACTTGTCCGGATCAATGTCGTGTTCAATTGTCCGTGACCCATGGCTGGAAGAAGAAATTTCACTATTCATCTTATTCTATTTCAAACAATAATTCTTATGATAAATTTTGCAGGTGACGATGATTCTGCAAGAAGTCCTAAGGTTGTACACACCGGCACCTATGACGGTCCGAGGCCCAACAGAGACGGTGAAACTAGGAAAAATGACTATTCCGCCAGGGGTACATATGACAATTCTATTAGGCCTACTTCATCGCGACCCCATGATTTGGGGAGACGATGCAAATGAGTTCGATCCTCGGAGATTCTCGGAAGGTTTTTCCAAAGCGGCAAAGACGCAATCGTCCTTCATACCGTTCAGTTCAGGCCCTCGTGTTTGCATCGGACAAAACTTTGCGATGATTCAAGCAAAAATGGGTCTAGCTATGATTTTAAAGAGCTTCTCGTTGGAGTTGTCGCCTTCGTATTTGCATGCCCCTTTCCCGATTCTTACTATTCAACCACAATACGGTGCACCGTTGATTCTGCGTAGTCTCGATTCGTCATGAAATTCATGAACAGAAAAGTGTAATAAAGATTATTGATAAAAGTAATTAATGAAGAAGGACGATGGGTATTAATTATGTTAGAGAAATAATAATACCTTAAAAACATGTATTTGGATATCAATGTTTTTTAAACTTTAACTCAATAATATTTTGGTCTTCAATTTTGTGTGTATTATGGGGGATAATTACACGTTTCGTCCCCCAAGTTTGGCTCGATTCCAATTTCGGTCCCCATATTACGAGTTGGACAAAATACACATTAAATTTACCACATTTAGACACATTTATTCCACACAGTTCCACATCTGTTAGCAATTAATGGAAATTTGTCACGTGCAACTCACGTGTCTCACAATTTGCCAGAATTACATCAAAACCACACCGTATTTTTTTCTTCTCTTTTTTGTTTTACGGAATTGATCTAAGCCATTCGATCACTTCCCACTTATTTTTTTTTTCTCTTTTATCTTTATCTTCTTCACCACTGTCCGCCTCGTTGCCGACCATCACCGCCATCAGAAGTCACCCCACCACAATTGACACCAGAACACCACTGGATTTCAATGAGGTTTTGAAGCTATCTAATGTTACAATCTCTCTCTCTCTCTCTCTCTCTCTATATATATATATATATATATATATATATATATATATATATATATAATTTAGTCGGGCTTTATTCGGGTTGAGTCATGGTAAGCTCAAACTCGGCTCATAATTTAATCGAGTTTAATGAAAAGGCTCAGACTCGACACAACTCACAATTAATCGAGCTTGGCTAAAAATAAAATCGAACCGAGCCATCGGTCTTCGGGTAGGCCCGACTCAATTGCCGGTCTTAATTGATTGTATATTAATCCGTAAAATAAGAATGTCACCATAGTATATTTATAATCAATGTTAATTATGGACAGAAAAATTAAAATATGAACGGATTGTATGGATCTAAACTTTCAATTGAAGAAATACATTATAAAATTCAAGAATGGTAAGGTAAAGTGTAATTAAAATAATGTCATTAATTGATTACCATAAATATTTTATCACAATCTGGTATATGATATATAAGGTAAATTAATAAACATTGGAAAATATTTGTTTCTATTCATTTCTCTTAATTAAATGAAAAAGAAAATTAAAGAAATAAGTCAAAAAACGTAGGATCAAAATGAAGACTTAAAAACATTGATTGTGTATTCTCCATTTATAAATTATATAGATTATATAGATTACATAGAGTATAGATTTTACCTACCTGAACTATAACGAACGTATGAACTTCAAAATGAACCAAAATGTTAAAAATCCGTTCACCCTAACTGATGTGGACTTTTGAATTTATAATTATTTTTTATAATTTTTGTATCTGGTTTGACATTTTTACCCTTAATTTATTGTGTTGTATATGTTATTATGTTTGTTCTTTTCTTTTTACCAATTGATTAATATTCTAAAATATTCTACATCATTCCCACACAAAATTAAACAATTAGAGTATGTATATGTGTATACACACGAATCAGAGGCGGATTTTTTTTATTCATGAATTTCCACTCAATTTTTCTCGGAAATTGGGCCACGGTAAAAGAAAATTGACCGGTGGGAGAAAAGAGACAGTCGGAGCATGTTTTTGGGGGAGAATTTTTTTTTTTCTTTTTTTTTTTGAGTCAGCAGTCGATTTTTAGGGTGAAATTTGAGAAGAAAGGAAAATATTAAGGGTAAAATGTAACAACACTTTAAAATTAACGGTGTCAAAATTTCTGTGTTTTTTAACGTTCACCGATAATTGAGAGGGGCTGTTTTAGTTCATTTTGATATTCAAAGGGTATTTTATACGGTGGGTACAGTTCAGATAGATGATATAAACTTTACCTTTAATTATATCATGTTTCTATTATTAACTTCCTTTCATACTCTATTATATCAATGACTCGTTCGGTTATCTCTATAAAATTCTACTGACTAAATAGTAGTGGCTAATAATATGTTCGGTTGGTAAGATTCACATTTTTTCAAACTCGCTATTAAAAACAAAGTTCGTTATTAAATGCTACTATAACATTTAATTAGTATCACCCCTCCCCTGAGATTAATTTAATAGGGGTTACTAAAAAGAAAAATACAATTTTATCCTTAAAAATATATTTTATTATTGTAAACTAAGTGGTTTTACCGACAATTCATATATAATAACTGATCTAACAAACTTAATAGAAAATCTAATTTAAGAACCGAACATGCTACTAATTAAATAATTAATTAGTCAGTAGGGAGTTAATCCAGTTTATACTATACATAAAATTGGGATTATGTTTGTTTAAGAATTTTTACTTGAACATGCCTATTTTTCTTAACAAATTTTCTAATGGAAATACATTATTCATACTTTTCCCACTTTTCAAACCTACATTAACACCTACTAACATATTTCTCTTTCCTCCAATTTCTCATAATAATAATAATAATAATAATAATAATAATAATAATAATAATAATAATAATAATAATAATAATAATAATAATAATAATAATAATAATAATAATAATAATAATAATAATAATAATAATAATAATAATAATAATAATATATTAGTCAAAAATCGAAAACACAAATTTTAACCTTTATGTACTATTTCTATTTTATAATTCTTATTTCATATTCTTTATTATATATTTACTTATTGTAAAAAAATAATAAACAAAGACTCTTAATTTTCAAGTTATGTTTTTTCAATATAAGTTTTTCAGAAAAAATAAATATCTTTTGAAAACACTTTTAAAAAATCTTACTATTATAAGAAAAATAAAAACAAATGAATAAATAGATGGCCGATAATACCTCTAGGCTCCAACCGACCCATTGTTTGTCCGACAAAGTCGGTTGCCAAGCATTATTCGACCCATAATGCTCGGGCCGATAATGTTTTTTAATATTCAACAAAATTGGGTGGTCGGGTCGGATAGGTAATTGACCGATAATTACCCGACCTGACTCACGTCCAACCTTACTGATGCTAACCAAATGTGGATTGGGCAACTCAAGAATATTAGATCCCGCAATGATAGAGAATGCCGATGGTCACTGCTAGACATGGCCACGGGGCGGGTCGGGGCCGGGTTCGACTTTTAGGGGACCCGAAACCGACCCGCGGGGAGCCGGGTCCGGGTCGGGGGCGGGTCCACCCGGGTCCATCCGGGTCCGGGCCGGGTCCGGGTCGGGTCCGGGTCCAACCCGGTTTTTCAATTTTTTTTTAAACAAAAAAAACCTATATTGAAACTTGAAAAAACATGAGATTAACTTTAAATTCAAAATTAAAACAATAATTGAATTTAAACATTACACGATTTTAGAAAAAAATGAAACGATTAACACCTTGAGACATAAACTAAATAAAATGAAAGTCGTGAAGATTGGATTATGGGTATTTATTATAAGTGAAAATAATAATTGAGAATTTTTTTAAAATTTCAAAATTCAAAAAAAATCAATATTCAATCTTTCTTTTAAATTAAATCGTATTTTTTTATATTTTTCAAAATTAAATATATATGCATTTGTTATTAGTCGGGATTTTTGATATTAATAATAGTTAACATGACAATTAATAATTTATAAAAACATTAGTTATACAATTATTATAATCATTTGATAGTGTTATTTATATTTTTATATTTATAGTTAGGGCATCTTTGGATTCTTGGAACCCATTGGATTGATGAATTTATCTGACCGGATCTCATCTTAGGATTATTGGACCGAAATCCCAGATTGATCCCCGGCCCGGTCTGCTATCCTTGAAACGAATGATATTCCATCCGCCCAAATGAGATCCGATTACATAATCCGGTTTTTTTTTTGGATTCCATGTGAATTGACAACAGTACCCTCTATAATTTCAAACAAATACACATAAACCTGGTATAAATATCTCACTCACTCTCCCATTTTCTTCTTCGTGCCCTAAATTTCCTGAATACATGTATGTATACAAATATTTTCTTCTGCGTTTTTATTCTTCTATTTTGTTTTCTTCGATTTGGAAACTAGCAACTTCAAAATTTGGTATGTATACAAGGAATATATATATAACATAAAGAAAAGGTGTAAAATGATTATAATAAATAATGTTAAATAGATTAGTAATTGTCATATTCATTATTATTAAATAATTTAATTAAATTATTAACAAATATAATATAAAAAAAATGAATGGACTTGAGCTTAATCCATTTAAATCTTACGATTCTATTCTAATATTTGAATAAAATATAAATGTAAAAAAAAGATTAAATCATAAGATATACGATTTAATTCTTACGATTTTTATAAACTAAACCAATTATTAAAAGAGAAATCACATCATAATATTTTGATTATACTCGTCATATATAGTTTTATTTTTAAAGTAAGAAATTAATTGGAATGAGATATAATCTATTTTTGTTAAAATAAACATCATCTATATTTTTTTTAAATAGTTATCTTATGATAAAATAATCAATAATTTTAATAAGTTCTTGTCAACAATTGAGATTAATCGATTTAAATTAATTGAAATGAGTTATATTCATTTTTTTTAAATAAACATCTTATTTTATTTTTCATTCGAATTTTTCACACTATCGATTTTAATAACATAAGTGAGTTTGTATTAATCAACGCATTTGTTTATATATTGAATTGATTCAGTATTTTATATATTTCAATAGTGGAGATTATATTGATATAATAATTAATAATAAATGTTTTGAAGTATTGAATCGTAATTCTATATATTTTTTTAAAAGTTTCTTATATTGCATTTGTTAATAAGTTAATTAAAATTATTTAATAACAATTAATATGAAAATTAATAATTTTTTTAACATATTTATCATTTTACACCAGCGTGTTTATATTATATATATTTCTTATCTACATTTAAACAAAAATGTTTGTTGGCCCAGTGGTAAGAATTGCTCATTCTTCCCCTATCTTCCTGAGTTCGAACCCCACAAGGTGCATTTTTTGTACAAAAAAATCTGGTTTAATACCCGGTTCCCGGGCCGGGTCCCACGGGTGGACCCAACGGGTCTCGGGTCCTGATATTTGGGACCCGAAACCGACCCGTGGTTGGCCGGGTCCATGGTCAACGTGTCGGGGCCGGGGCGTGGCAGGGCG